TTCCTCCTTTGATGTATGCTGAAAAAGTGGAACATATACCTGCCCAGGAGCCACATGCTAATCATGCTGTCTGTAGAATCAACTATGTTACAAATGGATTGGAAACCAGTTTGTTATGCTCACAGGTCATGTGGTCTCTAAAATAAACAAACATATATCACATATCCTACTTTATATAAGGAGCTTTAACTTTGTATAGTTGCAGCATCTAAACCCTCTTAAACCGTATTAGAATTTATACATTTTCAGTGAGGGTTAGACATGTGTACAAAGGATCAAGTATGCATTGCAAACATCTGACAGACCAGTCTCCTGTTCACCAACTTACCCTTCATATCCCAACCAAGATTTGACTGTCTTCTACTGCATCTATTTGCTGTGTGCAGAGGGCTGCATTATATCATGTTCTATTCTCTATACAAAGATAAGATAAAACACCCTTCTCCACCCATTATTTTTCACTGGGAAGCAACACATGCAGCTATCCCATTTCCCATATATGTACTGAAAATCCACTGCATGATACCTTCATTATTCACATTGCTGTTGTAAGTCAGATATCAACTCCTACGTTTACAGAGAGGTAGATATTGTTAAGACCTAACTGAAAAAAAGGATATAAAAAGAAATCTTATTTGTCTCAGTGACATATAATTTCCTAAGAACTGCCTGGCCTGTCTGAAGTTCTTTTTCAGTGAGAAGAATCCCTGAATGTTCCTCTGATTATAATTTCTAGCAATGCCATTTTCAGGTATTCTTAACTTGAAATGGCCTGACTAGTGATATTGAACTTGCTACGCAAGTTCTTGTGAATGCAGACAGTAATCACAAAAGTATTTTTAAAATAGCATCTTAAATGTCCTGTAACCCAAAAAGTCTGACCAATTTTCTTCTTTCCCCTTAGGTTTCAGAGTAAGCCTGGCAGAAGGTAGGACAGGACAGCCTCTGAACTAACTGGTTCAGAGAGACATGAGCCTGCCTAGGCAACAACCTATCTTGTCAGACATTATGAATTGCCAAAGAAAGCCTGGCAATTTTCAGGCCAAAGAAGTTAAACCAATAAAAAAACAAAGGGGATTTAAACTAAGTTTAAAATGGAATATGGTTGCAACTCTGATTTTGGACAGTTCGTTGTCCTTAGTGAACTCTGGACTGTAATTTAAGCTGTCTTTAGACAGCTAAGATAACTGGCTACAATCATTTTCATTGGCAGTGAGTTCAGTTACTCCATTGCTCTTTGTTATGAGATTTCTCTTCCTAATACACAACTATGATAGGGTCTGTAAACCTCACACATCAGGCTTGTCTACGCAAGACCTTTACCGTAAAGTTAACTAATTAACTGTGAAGTAAACATCTCAGCGTCTACTCGTGCCCTCCCATTACGGCACATAAAATTAATAAACTCCATAGCACTACCCTGCTAGGGTTTTTTTCATATGTAACAGTGCATGTGTAGATGCTACTCTGCCTGGCTAGGACATAGGGTGCTTCAGTGCAGGGCTAGCTGACTGGCAGCCCCTGTGCTGAAGCAGTCTCGTGCCTCAGCCAGCCACTTGGCAATATATGGAGGCTGGTCAGAGCAGCCTGGGATGTCAGGCTGACCCTCTGCCAGGTCCCCTACCAGCCTGGGCTGCTCCAACCGGGCTGCTCCAACCAGGCTCCACATGCTGCATGCAAATACACTCCAGAGCAATAAGCTCCAGAGTTTATTCAACGCGCATTACTTGCACATGTAGACATGCCCAGTGAAACCAAACACAGGGCCTAGAGTGCAGTAAGGATAAAGGTAGATATACAATTTAGCTGGCTGTCTCCTTCCTGAGCTGAGTCAGGGAATGAAAAAGCAGACCAGGAAGCTGTTGGGGAAAGATCTTGTAGGCAGCTGTAAGGAAGTTTCTTGAACAGAGGCTTTACTGAAGGCTACGGAGGTATAGTTACTGCAGATAATGGGAATGGAACCAGATGGACCTTGTGAAAAGCCAAAAACCATGGACATTTATGGATAAAGATAGGAAGTGGAGTAGAGATACTGTCTAAAGGTAAAATTTGCATACTTGGCCCACCCTCATGACTGGTCCACGATTCAATCCCTTTTCCCACTATGGTGGAGTATGGATGCCTCAGCAGGGCAAGAGGCAAAGGAGCGTAGTACCATTTGGGTAGGCTGAGAACAGAAATAGAAGATATGCAGAAATAGAACTGTATAGCATGGTTGCCTGTATGAAAGGACCATAAATGAGGCTTGAAGGAAGATCCCACAACCCATTTTTGTGTTAATCTAAATTTTCCCAAACTTCAGGCTATCCCTTTGTCTCCTCATCTTCTACAACTGTTAAAATTCCTTTTTCTTCATTTACATTAGGCAGAAGGCAAGGCAGGTATAGTATCTGATGAAACAGGCTGTCACCTATGAAAGCTTGTCTCTCTGAACTAGTTAAGCTGCTTACAGGCATGAAAAAAACAAACACTGCTTTACTTTAAGTTTGACACACCCCCGCACCAAGTGCAGCACATGTCCAGTAGAGACATAGTTAGTTTGACCCAGCTCACCCAATGTCCATATAGATCATGTGCTTCAGCAGGCCTTTTTCGCACTTTTATCTAATAGCAGATTGAATCAGCTATTAGATAAAGAGCCAGAAAGCTCTGCTGAAGCACACAATCTATACAGACCCCGGGGAGTTGGGTTGAATTAATGCCCTTCTTCCAATAAAGCATTGTTTTGTTTTCTTTCATTTTTTTCATGTCTATCAACAGCCTTAGTCTCTGGGCTGCCACTCTTCCCTCCCTTCTGCCTAACTTCAGACTAACTCAGCTATTTCTCCCTCTTCATTTATGTTATTACCTTGAAGGTATTTTATAAACTGTAATCATGTACCCTGCTCCCCTCTGAGTCTTCACTTCTTAGGATGTATTCATTTATTTCTTTTTTCTCTGTTCTGCCTGCCAATCCTGGCATTATTATGCCTTTGAACCCAGAGTATTTCCTTTAGCTAAGGCTAAAATGGTTAATATTTGTAAACCATATTGAGACTCTCAGATGAAAAGCACAATGGGAGGCACTCAGCACTCCCCTGCATGCCATGAACAACTCACCGGATCCAGCCTTCAAGAAGTGAAACACACTGCTTATTAATTATTAATATCCCCTTAAACCAAGGAGAAGAGATCTGCATATGGTATTCCAGGTGCTATTGGATTATGGAAGGCAGCCCAGTTATCTCTAGATTTACATGAGGTATTTCTTAAATTGTGTTGATGTTCAGTGGATGACATTTTTCCTGGAGAAAATAAGAAACCAGTGATCCAGTATAATATATGGGATAAACCTGAAGGTGGCTTTCAACTGGGTGTGGACAAATCTGTGTCACTTTTATGAAAGCAGAGATATTAATCTTGGCATCACTGACAAATTTCAATGGAGGTAACTGTATTCAACTTGCAGAAATGGCCCTCAGAGAGTGTCTTTCCATTTAAAGTATTGTTCATCACTTCTATGCACTCTGTTAAGCAGCTGCCATGTTCTGCTCCAGAGAGGGTTGAACATCAGAAATTAATGAAAATTATCCCAGTGCATATCTTACTCGCCTCACACGTAGTTTAGTTATCGGGTTTAATCTGCTAATATAGGCAACCAGGTTTATCTGCTTAATGCAAACAGGTGTATATGCTACATGGATTTCTTCTTTGCATTTCCACATTTATTTTTGTGCTTTTCCTTGGAAGAAAATAAATCTTTAAAAAAAAATCAAGGCAAAGCACTGTGGTAACACAAAATATTATTTCTACCACACACTCACAAATAGTGTTCTTCTGCTTCTTATAAATGCATCACCCTGTGAGGTCCTATTTTGTTTGCTTCTTACTACATAGGGTTTTTTAGACTCACTTTTAGCTGTTTTCCCCTCATCTATATCTTTTGCTGTTTATTCAAGGTTCGTGGGTGTATAATCTCACATTTGTTATAATGTTTCAAGTGCAATACTATATTAGAGTTAAAAAGCTATATTCATTATGCATCCCCTGTTCCAGGCATTTAAAAGTTTCTTTGAAAACTACTCATTAGCTGCAGTTTTTGTGCCTGTTCTCAGCATGAACATAATTTTTAAGTGATTTACATTTCTTATGGTTCCATGCAAGAAATGGGTATTTATTTGGGCTAAATTCAGATCCCATCCGTCATGGTCACTAGTACGTCACTCCATGAATGGTGCATTTGAAGTCACAAAAGGATTAGGGTGCTCCTTAACATGTACAAAGGGGTCTGAATTTGAGAGATTATTCTTGAGATAAAGAACTGTTTGGCTATAAAACACATGTGACTAAAATGCAAATACCAGGGTTGTTTTGTTGTGAAATTCTGCAATGCTGATTGTTCATGAGTTAATAACAACAATTAAATGTGCTTCAGTGTCCCTTACAGGAAGGATCATAGTTAGACTATTACATCTGCCTACATGTGTACTTCCATCACAAAATAATTGCTTTTTAATAACTAATAACTATTCTTTGTTCGTTTATGTGAAATATTAGACCATTGTAAAAATGTGTCCCTTGAGATGCATCTGACTGGGAATTGCTTTGGTACAACAAACAGCTTTTCTTTTTTCATTTTTTTTTTAAATCTCTGAAGTTAGATGTTTTGAATCCCTCAGTAAGGACTAGTTGTTCTGACATGCTCACAGAAGTGTATGTTACAAATAGGTAAGTGGTGTGCATTAAATTCTCTGGCTAAAATCCAGTCCAGCAAAGTCCCTGAGAGATGCAAAACTTACATCCCTGAAGTGGCATGTATTTCTAAGATGGATTCAGGCAATTAAATAGCAGAAATAAGAATCTGCTGCTGTTCTGCAGTCAAGGTTAAAATGAATACCTTCATCAAGACTGAAATGCCCTGGGCAAAGCCTGTTTTGGACAAGGTTTAGGATTGGGGCTGAATGAAAATTATATTTGTCCAAGTACATGAAGTTACCAGGATTGCTTCCCTTTTCTCTAAGGGTTACGTGGTGCAATAGCTTTTGCACTGGCTATCCGGGACACAGAATCTCAACCAAAGCAAATGATGTTCACCACAACGCTGCTTATTGCATTCTTCACAGTCTGGGTCTTTGGTGGAGGCACCACTCCAATGCTCACATGGCTCCAAATCAGGTTAGTGCTGTCTTACCATGATTTAATACAGGGTAAAATAACATGATGGTTACAGTTAATCACTACCTTTATACATCTTTCCAATTCCCATTTTAATAGACAGGGTGGTGACCTACAAACCTGGGATTTTATTCTGTAAATCTCCAGTGTTTGAGGTGATGTGGATACAGTGTTCTGTCTCAGGCCCACCTGATAGAGGTGGGCCAGGCAACCAGGGGGAGATCCATTTTCCCCAGAACTTTACAGGTTCTGATCTGAATGTCTCATTCAGGTCCATTTTTAATTCTAAAGATCCTATTTCTTTTTTCTTTTTTTAATATAATTAAATGTTGGCATAAGGTGCTCAGCACTACATGAGATATAGATACAGAGACATTTCCTCCCACAGTCTAAAACTTGTGTGTTAATTCCACAAAAATGTTTGAAGTATCTTAAAAGCCACAAAACCCATCCTGGAAATGATTACATTAGTAACAAAGAAAGATGGATAGCAAAACCTATGCAGAAAATGTGCTTGCCTAGCTGGGCAGGGGACAATGGCAGAGTCTACTGGCACTCCATGTGTTCATATATGTATGTATGTGACACCAGGAAGGAAGGAATTATTATTTTATTCATTTAATTGTTTATTCCTAATTGCAAAAGAGGGGATGTTTAATCAGAAATGTAATGTGTACCTTGATTGAATGTTAATGAGCATTCTGTGTAATCTGTACATCATATTTTCCATTTCTATTTTGAACTTGTTGCAACAGATGGAATGTCTTAAAGTTAAATAGACCAAAATCTGCCTTTAGTTTTACTCCACCAACCTTCTTTTACTCCATGCACTTGCACAAGTATATACAGGAGCGTTTAAACCAGTGTGTATTTTGAAATATCAGTGGGTACACCCTTGGGTGATTAAATTGTGACTCCTTGACATCAAAACTGAGGGAATTATGAATGAGTTGGTTGCTCAGCACACTGTATTCCTGAGAGTCTGTGCCATAGTCCTGTATGGTCTGACAGGTAAAGACAAGGAAGCAACTTCAAGTTGAGAGAGACCATGCAAAATGTAAAGCTCTTCTTCAGGTGAGTGCTAGTCATTGCCTTCATGTAAAGCAGTGATTATCAGCCTGCATGCTACAGGCTGCCATGCAGTATTAACACCGTTAGGTGTGCAAGCACCTACACATGATTCACAAGATAGACCCAGAGATTTCAAACAGGAATCCATAGTATCAAAGAATTCTGCTCTATAGTAGTATTTCTGAGTTCTTTGAAACAGTAGACATGGTCTATTATTTTTCTATAAGTCAATAAAAAAAAGTGAACGCTAAGAGCTGGCATTTTCCAAGAGATGCCTTGTGTCTAGTACGGTCGAGAATCACTGGTATAAGAAGTTTTGATATCCAGCATTTTTTAATTGCTGTTGTCTCTTTTTTTCTATAAAATGCCTGCAAAAACAATTTAGTTAATTCTATAGTGTGGGGAATTTTTTGTTTTATCTGGGTGCTCCTGAATTGAGTATATTTATGGCATCCTGAAGGAGATGTTACACAGCCCCATCTCCAAAAGAACAAACTAGTTTGTGTATAGATCAAGAATGGAGTAGGCTATGATCTGCCTTTGGCTGTACTGATGGATACAACTTGGACACCAGCAAGCCAGACAACTCAGGGGTCTAAAGAATTTACAGAATTTTCCATAGATGATGGTTGCAGGTTCTACTCACATAGTGTTTCTGAATGAAAAGGACTCCTGCTCTTGGAAGGAGATTTGAGAACATGTGGGGGAAGGTCAAGATTTTTCCTAGTTTCTCTCAGAAACTCATCTATTAGCAGTGGCAGCAGAAGGGGTGAGATATTATGGTCAAGATTTACAGAAGCTGGGCTGTGATTCTGGATATACCAATTCTTGTGTAATGTAGTATCAGGTACTATACAGCCTGCTCTGCTAACTGCTGTAATCTATGAGTGGAGGCTAAATCTGATTATCACAAAATGTACCAGAAAATCTTCATGCATCTCCTGCAGCCTCCTTATTTGTGCAGCACTCAGCCAGAGATTTGTGCTCATTTGATTTTTGCCTTCTCCTTCTTTGTGTGGGTTTTCAAATGAATTTGTATTGCTGGATGCCTATGAGAGAGATGGGAGCTGACGTAAGAAAAAGAGGACAAGGAAAGGGGGTGGGAAGAAGAACGCTTAATTCTTCCATTTAATTTAATGGAACATCAAATACATTATATACAGATATATTTTGGGTTTTTTGAAAAACCCAGCTTTTAACAAAAAGGTGCAAATGCAATCTCTGTGTTCTGGTTACTTCATAATCCATGCAGGACTCACTGCCATGGTTTATAATGTCACCAAAGAAAACTTCAGTGGCCTTGTAATTCACAATTGCCTATCATGTATTCTATATATAGTGTATGCTTTGCTTGTTTACAGAGTGATGTCTGATTAACAAGCCTTCATGTCAAACTGTTGCTATTAAATACCAGCTGAAGATAACTAAATCTGAGCCTTAATAAAGAGGGGGAGATAAAAGCTTATAGACGAAATCGGTACCAGCATACAAATATACTGGATAAATATAAAATGCAGGCATCTGTATACTGTGCGGTTTCCCTGGTACTTTGATTTTCCCCACCTTGAAAATATCTCTCATCTCCTACCATGTCAGCCAAGTTTGATACAATCAAATATACACTACAGGTGTCTGTCATCCTAAAAGATTTGCCACTGTTTCACTGCCACTCGGTAAAAGAATTGCTACACAGCCCTATTTCTGATCAATACAGAAAGGAGCACAAACTGATGATGATGTGGAATCTCTTAATTGGGACTTGGGGTTTGAAGCATTTTGCACAATCTTGGGATCAGGAGAGTGTATCAGAAGAGTCAGTAAAAAATATTGAAGAAAAAATGAAGAGCAGTTACATGTCTTTTCCAATACAGGTTTACAAGGAGTTTAGATGCCCTGATGTAGTTCTTCAGAAAATTCAGGGTACAGACATAAAGAACGAGTCTCCTTACCCTTACTGACACAAGTAGTCCCACTGACTTCAATGGGACTGCTTCTATCAGTGAGGTCTGCCTGCATTAATTTTTTCACCCTTCTTCATAAAATATTAATGCCCTTATGGTAACCATTTATCCAGGAAAATTTAACTACCAGGAAAGTTTAACTGCCTCTGAATCCTGGGATCAATGGTTCTAAGATGATTGATTAATAAAATAATTTATTTTAGCAGCTAAAGCTGGGATTTTCTAAGGAGCATCAAGGAACTAGGCACCAACTAACTCTCATTGTATTTCTTAACACCAAAATACATAACTTCATAGCTGAGATTTACCTGAGAAAAGGCTTAAATAGACATTTATATTTAAAGAAAAATAAGTTGTTGATACCCCAGTTGTAGTTGCACATTCTTATGCCCTTATAGAACTTGAGCCTTGACTATCAGTACGTCTGTTCATTTTAAATTCTTACACTCAGATTTTGTTATGTTATCTTATTTCAAATGGACTGAAACTGACTCTAATTAATGAAGGAATGAATTCCTGTTTACAGTACTTGTAGAGAAAGATTTTAATCAACAATGACAAACAAATCTGCCATCACCCCCAGGCAGCTATTTTGCATTGTCAAGTTCCCTGGAAGGATAGCCCAGTGAGAAAAATGGAGAATTTCCTTTGTATACAGAGTTAGGATGTATGATTGTGGAGGGCTTAAGAGAATTGTGGATGCATGTATGTAGTCACACAGGAAAATCATAGGTTATTCCAACAAGGTCCAAGATAGAAAGAAGAGAGAAGGTTCAGATTGTCACTACAGTGTTCAATCCATGTGAATCTACAACACACAGCCTGGAGCATGAACTGTAAATATGAGAGTGGCATTTCAAACTTCCTTTTTGGGGTGAGTCCCCATAGTCTACTGGACTGATATGGCTACATATTGGTCTGTGTAGCCTGAAGTGGCCTGGGATTGAAACTATAGTGCAGAGCTGGCCACTCAAGTCAACTAAAAATAAAATTATTCACTTGAACAAAACTAATACCAATCCTAAATTCAAAGGAAAACTCTGTCAGAGCTATATCATATTCCTGATGATGACCAAGTTGGGATTTTCTTATGGCACAGCAATCACTATCATAGGTAAGCCCACCTGCCAGGCAGAGGGAGTCAAAACCAGCAAAGCAGAGTTCAGAGGTGGATTAATTTGTTCTGTAACCAAAGGAGAATCAGTAAACCACTTGCTCAATGTAGAATTCATCTTTTATAAAGTACACTTAAAAAAGAGGGTCATCTGATGGCTGCATTTAGTGGAATGAATGGGTCTTAAATTATTCCACATAAATTTGACTTTGTGCCCACGCTAGGCGGGCTTAGCCACAATTTCTCAAGGAATGTAGCTCTTTCCAGTCCTAAAATGACTGAATTTAGGTCAGAATTGAGTTTAGACATTGTTCAGAGACATTAACCTCTGGGTAGGTAAGAGATATGCCACCCCCGAAAATTATATTAAAATAAACAGATGTGTCAAGTGTTATTTTTATCTAAGAACAATCGATCAGCTTACTGAGTAAATCTTTATATCACTGTGGCACTAAGCAACACCAGTCACTGATTATGTCCATGCTCCCCAAAGCTGCAGTCTTTTCCAATTACGTGCTGTGGTTCCCTTCTGTTACAAATTTCGATATGTTACAATTATTTCTTACATTAGTTGAGTAATTAATATTGTCAAATCCTTCTGCTAGGATATACTCCTACACAGGCCCATGCGAACCAGTGATGATATATAAATAATAATATCTGATTCATAAATATTCACCAGGTCATCCACTTTGTCAAATAGACTGGACTTATGACCCAGATACCTTGTTCTAGAATGCCCAGATGCCCCCAGTGGGTGGGTGAGATGGGCTGGTGATATGCCCTCTGTCTGATAGCCTCAGGGTCCCCTCATGGGGACACTTTGCTGCTCTGAATTTTTTTTTTTTCCATTC